GAACCTTCAGTCCCAGCTACTCGGGAGGCTGAAGCAGGAGAATTGCTTGAATGCAGTAGGGAGGACGCTGCAGTGCTCTGAGATCACACCACTGCACTGTAGCCTGGAGACAGAAAGACTCTGTCTCAAAAACTAAACTAAACTAAACAAAAAAAAAAAAACCAGATGTCAAAGAGTGTTGAAGTCACAGGCCCAAATGGAGCACAGGGGGTGCTTGCAGAAAAATGCAGTGGCTTTGGAATACTTAGCAGGTATCTATGCTGGCTGAAAAAATACGAAATTGTATTTCAAGGAGGGAAAACGTTGCAACTGAGAAATATGCCCCAAACCAAATTGTTAGCTATGCCATCTTTTGATTGACATTGTCAATCAGGCCTCAGTTGGTGAGAAACTCCACTGACTGGTCGCCGGACTCCACGAGAAATATGCCCCAAACCAAATTGTTAGCTATGCCATCTTTTGATTGACATTGTCAATCAGGCCTCAGTTGGTGAGAAACTCCACTGACTGGTCGCCGGACTCCACGACACCTGAGGTCCGATTCACAATGGCAGTCAAAAAGGATATTCACTTGATATTCCAGAGGCCCCAGAAAGAAAAATTTCTCTTTGAGACAAAGAAATGCATCTTACCTCGTCACGGGGTAGCTCCTCATCCTCGATGTCTTCTAATATGAGGTCCTGCAGGACCTCAACGGGACCTAAGAGAACACAGAGTGACGGTCAGTGCATTGGTGCTGCTCAGGAATCTCACCAGGGGCTTTGGGAAATGTGGACCGGGCTGGAGGGTATGGAGCTGGGCGTTGACAAGCACGGACCCAGCTGCTGCTGGACCATTCTCCTTGGTGCTGAAGGAAGGAAAAGGAGAGGGCAGAAAGAAATGAAAGACAGGGCAACCTCATCAACCTGAAATCATCATTTGAAGAACCGGTTAATACAGAAAGGCAGTGTAGTACAGAAAGAGGAAGTAGATAGGGCTGCCTAGGACCAGCGGCGTGGGGGGTTGGGGAGAACAGAGGAGTCACTACTAAGCGGGTTTTCTGAGGGGGAAAAACAGCTTCTAAAATTAGACTCTAACAATGGTCGCACAACCCTATAAATAGAGTAAAAACACGGAATCACCTACTTTAAATAAGTGAATTTGTTTGCATACGCACTACGTCTCGGTAACTGTTTAAAAGAAAAAGAATACGTACGGCGGTGACACGAAACGGCGGGCTTCTCCTGCAATAAGAGAAAAAGAAACACCATGAGGATGACATCATGCTGGGTCCTGCTGGCACAGGTCTAATATTCACTTGGTGACGTTAGATAACCAGATGGCAGGCTGGGCGCGGTGGTTCACGCATGTAATCCAGCATGTGGGGAGGCTGGCGGGCAGATCATGAGGGCAAGAGGTTGAGGCCATCCTGGCCAACATGGTGAAACGCCGTCTGTACTAAAAACTACAAAAAACCCGGCGTGGTGGTGGCGAGAACCTTCAGTCCCAGCTACTCGGGAGGCTGAAGCAGGAGAATTGCTTGAATGCAGTAGGAGGACGCTGCAGTGCTCTGAGATCACACCACTGCACTGTAGCCTGGAGACAGAAAGACTCTGTCTCAAAAACTAAACTAAACTAAACAAAAAACCAGATGTCAAGAGTGTTGAAGTCACAGGCCCCAAATGGAGCACAGGGGGCACTTGCAGAAAATGCAGTGGCTTTGGAATACTTAGCAGGTATCTATGCTGGCTGAAAAATACGAAATTGTATTTCAAGGAGAAAACGTTGCAACTGAGAAATATGCCCCAAACCAAATTGTTAGCTATGCCATCTTTTGATTGACATCGTCAATCAGGCCTCAGTTGGTGAGAAACTCCACTGACTGGTCGCCCCGATTCACAATGGCAGTCAAAAAGGATATTCACTTGATATTCCAGAGGCCCCAGAAAGAAAAATTTCTCTTTGAGACAAAGAAATGCATCTTACCTCGTCACGGGGTAGCTCCTCATCCTCGATGTCTTCTAATATGAGGTCCTGCAGGACCTCAACGGGACCTAAGAGAACACAGAGTGACGGTCAGTGCATTGGTGCTGCTCAGGAATCTCACCAGGGGCTTTGGGAAATGTGGACCGGACTGGAGGGTATGGAGCTGGGCGTTTGACAAGCACGGACCCAGCTGTTGCTGGACCATTCTCCTTGGTGCTGAAGGAAGGAAAAGGAGAGGGGCAGAAAGAAATGAAAGAGCCTGGCTTCCTAGACAGGGCAACCTCATCAACGTGAAATCGTCATTTGAAGAACCGGTTAATAAAGAAAGGCAGTGTAGTACAGAAAGAGGAAGTAGATTAGGGCTGCCTAGGACCAGGGGCGTGGGAGGAGTCACTACTAAGCGGGTTTTCTGAGGGGGAAAAATAGCTTCTAAAATTAGACTCTAACAATGGTCGCACAACCCTATAAATAGAGTAAAAACACGGAATCACCTACTTTAAATAAGTGAATTTGTTTGCATACGCACTACGTCTCAGTAACTGTTTAAAAGTAAAAGAATACGTACGGCGGTGACACGAAACGGCGGGCTTCTCCTGCAATAAGAGAAAAAGAAACACCATGAGGATGACATCATGCTGGGTCCCGCTGGCACAGGTCTAATATTCACTTGGTGACGTTAGATACCCAGATGGCAGGCTGGGTGCGGTGGTTCACGCATGTAATCCAGCATGTGGGGAGGCTGAGGCGGGCAGATCATGAGGGCAAGAGGTTGAGGCCATCCTGGGCAACATGGTGAAACGCCGTCTGTACTAAAAACTACAAAAAAACCGGCGTGGTGGTGGCGAGAACCTTCAGTCCCAGCTACTCGGGGCTGAAGCAGGAGAATTGCTTGAATGCAGTAGGAGGACGCTGCAGTGCTCTGAGATCACACCACTGCACTGTAGCCTGGAGACAGAAAGACTCTGTCTCAAAAACTAAACTAAACTAAACAAAAAACCAGATGTCAAAGAGTGTTGAAGTCACAGGCCCCAAATGGAGCACAGGGGGTGCTTGCAGAAAATGCAGTGGCTTTGGAATACTTAGCAGGTATCTATGCTGGCTGAAAAATACGAAATTGTATTTCAAGGAGAAAACGTTGCAACTGAGAAATATGCCCCAAACCAAATTGTTAGCTATGCCATCTTTTGATTGACATCGTCAATCAGGCCTCAGTTGGTGAGAAACTCCACTGACTGGTCGCCGGACTCCACGACACCTGAGGTCCGATTCACAATGGCAGTCAAAAAGGATATTCACTTGATATTCCAGAGGCCCCAGAAAGAAAAATTTCTCTTTGAGACAAAGAAATGCATCTTACCTCGTCACGGGGGTAGCTCCTCATCCTCGATGTCTTCTAATATGAGGTCCTGCAGGACCTCAACGGGACCTAAGAGAACACAGAGTGACGGTCAGTGCATTGGTGCTGCTCAGGAATCTCACCAGGGGCTTTGGGAAATGTGGACCGGGCTGGAGGGTATGGAGCTGGGCGTTTGACAAGCATGGACCCAGCTGCTGCTGGACCATTCTCCTTGGTGCTGAAGGAAGGAAAAGGAGAGGGGCAGAAAGAAATGAAAGAGCCTGGCTTCCTAGACAGGGCAACCTCATCAACCTGAAATCGTCATTTGAAGAACCGGTTAATACAGAAAGGCAGTGTAGTACAGAAAGAGGAAGTAGATTAGGGCTGCCTAGGACCAGGGGCGTGGGGGGTTGGGGAGAACAGAGGAGTCACTACTAAGCGGGTTTTCTGAGGGGGAAAAACAGCTTCTAAAATTAGACTCTAACAATGGTCGCACAACCCTATAAATAGAGTAAAAACACGGAATCACCTACTGAATTTGTTTGCATACGCACTACGTCTCGGTAACTGTTTAAAAGAAAAGAATACGTACGGCGGGTGACACGAACGGCGGGCTTCTCCTGCAATAAGAGAAAAAGAAACACCATGAGGATGACATCATGCTGGGTCCTGCTGGCACAGGTCTAATATTCACTTGGTGACGTTAGATAACCAGATGGCAGGCTGGGCGCGGTGGTTCACGCATGTAATCCAGCATGTGGGGAGGCTGAGGCGGGCAGATCATGAGGGCAAGAGGTTGAGGCCATCCTGGCCAACATGGTGAAACGCCGTCTGTACTAAAAACTACAAAAACCCGGCGTGGTGGTGGCGAGAACCTTCAGTCCCAGCTACTCGGGAGGCTGAAGCAGGAGAATTGCTTGAATGCAGTAGGAGGACGCTGCAGTGCTCTGAGATCACACCACTGCACTGTAGCCTGGAGACAGAAAGACTCTGTCTCAAAAACTAAACTAAACTAAACAAAATCAAAGAGTGTTGAAGTCACAGGCCCCAAATGGAGCACAGGGGCGCTTGCAGAAAATGCAGTGGCTTTGGAATACTTAGCAGGTATCTATGCTGGCTGAAAAATACGAAATTGTATTTCAAGGAGAAAACGTTGCAACTGAGAAATATGCCCCAAACCAAATTGTTAGCTATGCCATCTTTTGATTGACATCGTCAATCAGGCCTCAGTTGGTGAGAAACTCCACTGACTGGTCGCCGGACTCCACGACACCTGAGGTCCGATTCACAATGGCAGTCAAAAAGGATATTCACTTGATATTCCAGAGGCCCCAGAAAGAAAAATTTCTCTTTGAGACAAAGAAATGCATCTTACCTCGTCACGGGGTAGCTCCTCATCCTCGATGTCTTCTAATATGAGGTCATGCGGGATTTCAACGGGACCTAAGAGAACACAGAGTGACAGTCAGTGCATTGGTGCTGCTCAGGAATCTCACCAGGGGCTTTCGGAAATGGGAGAGTATGGAGCTGGGCGTTTGACAAGCACGGACCCAGCTGCTGCTGGACCATTCTCCTTGGTGCTGAAGGAAGGAAAAGGAGAGGGGCAGAAAGAAATGAAAGAGCCTGGCTTCCTAGACAGGGCAACCTCATCAACGTGAAATCGTCATTTGAAGAACCGGTTAATACAGAAAGGCAGTGTAGTACAGAAAGAGGAAGTAGATTAGGGCTGCCTAGGACCAGTGGCGTGGGGGGCTTGGGGAGAACAGAGGAGTCACTACTAAGCAGGTTTTCTGAGGGGGAAAAACAGCTTCTAAAATTAGACTCTAACAATGGTCGCACAACCCTATAAATAGAGTAAAAACACGGAATCACCTACTTTAAATAAGTGAATTTGTTTGCATACGCACTACGTCTCAGTAACTGTTTAAAGAAAAAGAATACGTACGGCGGTAACACCAAACGGTGGGCTTCTTCTGCAATAAGAGAAAAAGAAACACCATGAGGAGGTCCTGCTGGCACAGGTCTAATATTCACTTGGTGATGTTAGATAACCAGATGGCAGGCTGGGCGCGGTGGTTCACTCATGTAATCCAGCATGTGGCGAGGCTGAGGCGGGCAGATCATGAGGGCAAGAGGTTGAGGCCATCCTGGCCAACATGCTGAAACCCTGTCTGTACTGAAAACTTCAAAAAACCCGGCATGGTGAAACGCCATCTCTACTACAAACTACAAGAAACCCGGCATGGTGGTTGTGAGAACCTTCAGTCCCAGCTACTCGGGAGGCTGAGGCAGGAGAATTGCTTGAAAGCAGTAGGAGGACGCTGCAGTGCTCTGAGATCACACCACTGCACTGTAGCCTGGTGACAGAGAGACTCTGTCTCTAAAACAAAACTAAACTAAGCAAAAAACCAAATGTCAAACAGTGATGAAGTCACAGGCCCCAAATAGAGCACGGGATGCTTGCAGAAAATGCAGTGGGTTTGGAATACTGGTATCTATGCTGGCTGAAAAGTACAAAATTATCTTTCAAGGAGAAAATGTGGCTACTGAGAAACATGCACAAGACCAGATTCTGAGTTATGCCATCTTTTGACTGACATCGTCAATCAGGCCTCAGTGTGGTCAGAATCTCCACTGACTGGTCGCTAGAGTTCATGACGACTGAGGTCTGATTCACAATGGCAGTCGAAAATAATCTTCACTTGATATTCCAGAGGCCCCAGAAATAAAATTTCTCTTTGAGACAAAGAAATGCATCTCACCACATCACGGGGTGGCTCATCATCCTTGATGTGTTCCAGGCTGAGGTCTTGTGGGACCTGAACAGCACCTAAGAGAACATGAAGTGACAGTCAGTGCATTGGTGCTGCTGAGGAATCTCACAAGGAGCTTTGGGAAATGTGGACCAGGGTGGAGTGCATGGAGCTGGGCGTTTGACAAGCATGGACCCAGCTGCTGCTGGACCATTTTCCTTGGTGCTGAAGCCTCATCAACGTGAAATCGTCATTTGAAGAACCGATTAATACAGAAAGGCAGTGTACTACAGAAACAGGAAGAAGATTAGGGCTGCCTAGAACCAGCGGTGTGGGGGGTTGGGAAAAAGCAGAGGAGTCACTACTAAGGGGTTTTCTGAGGGGGGAAAAAAGCTTCTAAAATTAGACTCTAACAATGGTTGCACAACCCCGTAAATAGAGTGAAAACACTGAATCACCTAATTTAAATGGGTGAGTTAGTTTGCATGTCAACTACGTCTCGGTAACTGTTTAAAAGGAAAAGAATACGTACGGTGGCAATACTGGGTGACATGTTTCTCCTGCAATAAGAGAAAAAGAAACATCATGAGGATTACATCATGCTGGGTCCCATTGGCACAGGTCTTGTATTCACTTGTGACATTAGGAAACCAGATGGCAGACTGGGCACGGTGATCCCAGCATGTTGGGAGGCTGAGGCGGGCAGATCATGAGGGCAAGAGATTGAGACCATCCTGGCCAACATGGTGAAACCCCGTCTCTACTAAAAACAAGAAACCCGGCACGGTGGTGGTGAGAACCTTCAGTCCCAGCTACTCGGGAGGCTGAGGCAGGAGAATTGCTTGAATGCAGTAGGAGGACGCTGCAGTGATCTGAGATCACACCACTGCACTGTAGCCTGGTGGCAGAGAGACTGTGTCTCAAAAACAAAACTAAACTAAACCAAAAACCAGATGTCAGTGATGAAGTCACAGGCCCCAAATGGAGAACAAGGGATGCTTGCAGAAAATGCACTGTGTTTGGAATACTTAGCAAGTATCTATGCTGGCTGAAAAATACAAAATTATTTTTCAGGAAGAATATGTTGCTACTGAGAAATACGCTCACTAGTTTTTCAGTGATGTCATCTTCTGACTGACATCATCAATCAGGCTTCAGTTGGATACATTCCAGTGACTGGTAGCTAGAGTCCATGACAGCTGAGGCCTGATTCACAAGGGCAGTCAGAAATGATACTCACTTGATATTCTAGAAGCCCCCAAAAAAGACATTTGTCTTCAAGACAAAGAAATGCATCTTACTATGTCAGGTGATGTCTCTTTAAGGTTTTCACGTCTCTTAAGGTTTTCTTCTGGTCTTGAAGAGGAGCTAGGAGAACACAGAGAGACAGTAAGTACACTGGTGATGCTGAGGAATCCCACAAGAAGTTTTGGGGGATGTGGACAGAAGCTGCAGTGTATGGATGGGGGCTGTTGACAAGCATGAAATGAGCTGCCGCTCGGCCACTCTCCTTGGTGCTGAAGGAAGGCAAAGGAGAGGGGAAGAAAGAAATGAAAGAGCCTTGGCTTTCTAGCTCGGGAAACCTCATCAGTGTGAAATAGTCTGCAAACCGGTTAATACAGAACGGCACTGTATGGCTCAGTGAGAGCATCTCATCACACAGGTCTAGGCAAATCCCAACATTTTATGAAACGTTACAGGATTATTTAACTTCTGTGGATCTACATATCCTGCTGCTACATTTATCATCTGTCCTGTTGTATTTTTTAAATTTTAAAAGCTTACATATTTATTATTTTAATTATTAAGTGTGCATTCCAATGATATTATATTTAGTGAGTAACATTCATGATGCTGTGTCAAAAATGAGAAAAATCAAATCTAAATTCATAATCTAGCTTCCGCCTTGGGCATTGAAAGAAAAACAGCAGTATAATCTCGAATTGAGGAAAAATAAATAACGACTGCAGAAATTAATGGAATAAAACAGGAAATCATCAGAGAAAATCAACAACAACAAAACCAGTTCTTTGAAAAGATCAATAACGCTGATAAACCTCTACCTTTTCTAACCTCAAAGGAAAAGAAGGAAGTCACGATGTACTAATAATATCAGTTCAAGACGAGTTGAATCAAAAATAATAATCTGTGCTCACACTTGGAAACATTATATGAAATGAGCTAACTTTTTGGATCTGTTTCAGAAGGTTAAACGTCTTCTCATGATAAATGAATCATCTGAATAGGCCTATATTTATATTAGAAATTGAATCAATAATTAGTGTCTTCTCAAAAGAACAAAAACACTACCTTCAGATGATTTCACCGGTAAATTCTACCAAAATTTTTACAAAGAAACGTGGTCTTACCGTACGAGCAAGTAACCATAATTTTAGTATTTCCTTACATTTAAAATTGTGTTTCCAAACAAGACACAAGAAGGTTTGTAATTTCTGTATTCATAATTGCCCAAACTGAAAGCAAATGTCTAAACATTTGAGATGTCCTTTACTATCAAAAGCGAACCAAGCCTGAGCAACACTGTGAAACCCCGTCTCTACAAAAAAAAAAATAAAATTTAAAAAAAGAGCTTGGTATAAAGCATGTGCATTATAGCCATCTGCTTGGGGAGGCTGAGGTAGAAGGATCATCTGAACACGGGGAGGTCAAGATTGCAATGAGCTGTGATTGCACCAGTGCACTCCTGGGTGAGAAAATGAGACCTTTTCACAAAAACAAAGAAACAAAAAGAACCAAACTCTAAGTTGCCAATGTAACTTTACTTGTGTAGTTGCATCACCCATTAATTTAATGCATTTAAATGGGCACAAATGAAATAAATGAAGAACATCACATAGCATTTACTGAGTTTCTCTGGGACACTGGATGAGTAAACTGGAATTGTTTGCTTCAATCAACTTAATGATATAATTTCCACCCTACCTTCATTTGCAGTGGGGCAAATTTTTTTACGCCTCCGTTTTTGTACCCAGCTCCTCACGCGGCCAGCCAAACCTGCAAGGTAGAAATGTATTATAATAAAGACAACTCTTGACATCTTGCTGAAATTAGTAAAAACTTATTCAGTTTAAACTTTTGATCCTAGTTTTCACCGACTACTTTTCAATGGAATTAGATCTGGGATCTAGGAAGATTTGTTTGTCCAGGCAGATACATTTATTCAGATGAGACAATATAGAAAAGCAGAAGATCCAAGTTACCAAGAATAGGCTGTGTTCAAATCCTACTTAGAATCTGCACATACCTGGGTGAGGGATATGAACCCATCTGTGCCTCTCTTCCCTATTCTGAGATGTAAAAACGTTAGTAGATCTATGCTATAGACCTACTAAGGTCTATAGCACCTAAAAGAATGAAATGCAGATAAAGACTTAAAAAGACTCTTTTCTTTTTGTAAATGCCCTAAAATGTTCAATCATTCAATGTCGAGAAGGATAATCCAGATACATGGTAGTGGTTGAATACAGAGAGGAAGCCTGCATGTCTCCTGTGCAAAGTAGGATGGAAAGTGATGTCACAGTTTCCATGGCCACATGATTTCCAGCTCATGACAGAGATCTGTGATTTCCCTGATCCCCACATCAGCCCCAAGGGACAGGCAGGTGAAATAAGACTCAGACATTTTGAGTGACTTGCCCAGTGTCACCGCAGTGAGGAGTGATAGATCTGAGGTAATAATGTAGTTGGTTCCCCGGGGATAGAGATCCTGGAACACCTGAGTCCTCTAGATCATGCCCTGAACCCTGGACTGAGAGCTCTTCTCACAAGCTTTGTCAAATCCTGCTACCCCAACATTTCTGTGGGATGGTTGAAGCTCTGGAGAGGTGGCAGGTGGCTTAACGCATTTACTGACCTACTGTATTATCCCCATGTTGTCACTTTTATTAGTTTGATGACCCATAAGGCAAACATTTTAAGTCTCTCAGTTATGCATGATCAGAGATTTTACCTAAGCCCACTCTTTCTACCCATCAGGTGATTCTCATCTGCTGGGCTAGAGCTGGCCTGATGTAAAAAATAACACACGGCATACCATGGAGCTGCTGCGTGCCCCACTCCGGTGAACATGGCACTATGGAGCTGCTGCGTGCCACGCTCCTGTGAACATGGCATACTATGGAGCTGCTGCGAGCCACGCTCCTGTGCACGTGGCATACCACAGGGCTGCTCCATACCCCAATCCTGGGCACATTCTTGCCTTGCTTCTGCTTTCCCAGCTCTGACAATCCTAATTCTGGCTTCCAAACCAATCCTGTATGTCCCTCTCAGTTCTCAGACTTGCCTCAACTGTTGGATATTTTAATCACTGTTGTAGTGACCATGACTGAACTGTGACATTTCATATACCATACTATATGTTTATCTTTTTATATATTTCTTAATAAAATTTAACTTATTTTTTTCAGACTTTTTAGGAACGTTTCTGGGCTAGGTGTGCTGGCCCATGGCTATAATCCTGACATTTTTAGAGGCTGAGGCAGGAGAATTAGCTTAAGGTCAGAAGTTTAAGACCAACCTGGGCAACACAGTGAGACGTCAATTCTACAAAAAGCTTCTAAATGTGATAGGCCTTGTATCCCTAGCTACATGGAAGCCTGTTGTGGGAAGATCATTTGAGCCTAGAAGATTGAGGCTGCAGTGAGCTATGATCACGCCACTGTACTCCAGCCGGGGTAACAAAGCAAGACCCTGTCTCTTCAAAATAAAAAGCATTACTGTGTTACACGTATCCCCATTTTGTTTCTCATTATCTAATATTGCTGTTTTCATCCTGAGGCTTGATTGCTTTAGTAAGCTTTAGAAAGTTTTTTAGACAAGGTAGTATTTATAGCAGGCCATATGCATGCCTTTTTATAGATTCTAGTTTTATATGCCATATATCTAGAATTTACATTCCTGATCTACTCCGTCTTCTTCTTAGAACCAGCCTCCTCATATGTAACACAAGTATAATTCCCATATTACACCTAACTCAAAACATTGAGAGGATAGAATAAAATCAAAGAGCAGTCTGTATACTACACAAGGCACAATAGATTACAAACCAAAGCTTTCTAAGGCGAAAAGTGCACACTTAACATCCTTTGCAGAACCCATAGCAAAATAATATTTTGAGAAACTATGCACTTTGGCTACCCAGTGAAATTAGGAGAAAACTGTCACAGGTCATCAAGACTTCCCCAACGTTATCTTTTATTTTTAAATAATGAAATACCATTATTTCTCCTGCTATCTTTCATGTATATTACTGCACATTCTCCTTTTGGCTTTTCTGAGTACCCTATTCTTGGGAATCACTCCACAGCAATAAAAGACATCTTACTCTTTTTCACAGCTTCATACTTCTCCTTTATGTACAAGTACCAGCTTATTTTACTAGTCCCTTACTAGGCATGCCAGTTATTTCCAATATTTAACTATTGAAAATAATGCAACAAGAACTCTGCAAATAGTTTGTTTTATATTTACGGAGCATAACTTCAGGATAAAATTCCTCAAAGTAGGATGTCTGGTTCAAATGCATTTTCACGGTTGTGAGATTGTGCCAAAGAGTTGAGTCTTTTTGCATTTCTACCAGCAATACATGAATGCAACTTTCCTCACAGCCACACCAAGGAACGTTCTGCCATGGTTTTGGGATTTCCCTCAATAGGAGAGACCCTGCAGTAGAGCTGTCATTTGCCTTTCTTTTATGAGTGAAGATGTGTTTAAAAATCACCTGTATTTCTTTTTCTGTGACTTGTCTATTTACCACTTTATTATCCACTTTTAGTGTCACTTGATTTTTCTCAAGTCCACCTCTTTCACGTCATTGTTGTTTTTCTCTTCACTGTCAGCTCTCACCTGAACTACTCCACCAGTCTCCTAGCTGCTCTTCCTGCTTCCACCCTTGCCTGTATTACAGCATATTCACAGAGCTGCTGCTCAGTCTTTTTCTTAGAGAATTAACAGTAATCCTGGGCTATAATCCTCCAGTGGTTTTCCATCTCAACTGAAGTCCATCTTTTCTGTGAGTGTTCACTACATGTACAAGGTCTTCACCCTTTTACTCTGCTGCAGCTGCCCTTGTGGCTTTCCCTCCTTTGCCTAAAACTTTGTTTCAAAAGTTTCAAATCAAACTTTGTTTCCATTTCAGGAATTCCAAAGCGGATATCCCTCTCTGGAAGCCCTCTCCCACCATCCTCACAGGGTTCCCCTCACTTTTTTATTTTTAAAACTAAATAAGATGGGGTGTCTCTGTGTTGGCCAGGCTGGTCTTAAACTTCCAGCCTCAAGGAATCCCCTCATCCTGGCTTTCCAAAGTACTGGGATTAAAGGTGGGAGCCACTATACCCAGCCCATTTCACTTTTAAGACTGTTCACATGTCACTTAAAGAGAACATCCTGCTCTTAGCGCCAACCCTCCATCAAACTGCCCTCCTCTTTAATCCATCACCCTGCTTTACTTTCTTCCCAGCACGTCACCACCTGCCATTCTTGACTATTCATGTGCTGGCTGCCCTTACTTCCCTATCGAATGTAATCTCTGTTGTGTTCCACTGTTGGCCCTGCATCTGCAACACTGCCAGGCCATTTGAAACTGCTCGATACATATATTTCATTTTACCCCAAACTAGTTAAGTTTCTCCCAATTCTCCCAGATCTGCTAAAGTTTTCTTTTGTTTTATCATCTAAGACAGCATCGGATTTTTAAAACTGGTAGCTATTTAGCATTAAAGACACAAGCTATCAAGATCCACAAAATATAAATGAAGAATGTTAATGTCTAAAAGTCAATGGTAACTGCAATTTGACACAAGTATATTTAACACTAAAATACCTTAAATACAAAGTGACTCATTTCATCCATTTAATTATGTCACTAGAAAAAATATATTATCTGAATTTTATAACAAGATATCACGCACCTGTCATCAAAATGTGCTTTATGTGTGTTCTGAATCAAACATGACAGGACTGTTTCTGACTTTACGAAAAAAGACGGCCAATCGCAAGGGGTAGAAATAGTGCTTTAACCAGTCCGTAGTACACTAAGCAGTTATTCAAAGTCATCAGGTAGAGCAGGGTGCCCTGGCAGGCAAAGACATCCTGGAGTGCTCTCTGGGTGTCAAGTACTGTTTGAGAAACTTACGCCATTATCTCACTGCTTTAAGTAAAAGTTACAAGGCAGCACATATAAAATAATCAGAAAGTTTTATTTTACAAAAAAGTTTGTGAAATAAAATATTATATTCAAATGCATAGCAATAATTTCCAGAAAAACAGTGCTCAAACTGTAACACAAGTGATCTATGGGTATTCTGAGTGTAATAAATAACTTTTCTTTATTTTCTACATCTTTTACATGAAACATACTGATAGTTATTTTAAAAGGAGGGTTCAAAATAGGTACTAGAAAGCTGAAAGACCTGCTGCTCAGAGGTCTCTACATCATATGCCCATGCTTTCCCTTCCCTGACCCCTCACTTGAGAGAGCCAACAAACCAGCAGCATTCAACACAAAAGGCTGCATGAAAAGTCGATGGGTAGTGATAAAATTGAATAATGAGCTCCTACTATCTTAATCTGTTACTTATATTACCCCCAGTCATATTAGATATACTGCTAAATAAAGGCATGATAGGACAAAACATGTTTGAGTCTGAGATCTAAACTGGGTTCTTAGAGCTTCTCTTTGAAATGGCTTCAAGACACAATGTTCTTTTGAAGTATTTCAGAAGAGAACAATGAAGCAGAGCATTATTTATGGCATAAGTTCCTGAAACAGGACTTGCCACCTAGAGAGCACTCCAGGATGTCTTTCTACAGCAGTGCGCCCTGCTCTGCCTGATGCCTTTAAATAACTGCTTAGTGTGCCACAGAATGGTTGGAGCACTGGTTGCTGTGATATTTGTCTAAGTTACCAAAGAAATCAATCGTCATTATAGAAAGGCTAAAATGTTTCACATCTAAGTAGGAATTTATCATTTTCCAAAAAACGTGATAGAAGATATTAACAAACTTTGAATGTGTCTATACTTTATATTGAGTGTTCTGAACATGTTTCTTTCATTTTATTTTCCCAGCCAGGCTGGAGTGTACTGGCGGGATCTCGGCTCACTGCAACCTGCAACTCCCGGATTCAAGTGATTCTCCTGCCTCAGCGTCCCAGGTAGCTGGGATTACAGGTATGTGCCACCATGCCTGGCTAAGTTTTTGTATACTTAGTAGAGAAGGGGTTGCATCATGTTGGCCAGGCTGGTCCCAAACTCCTGACCTCAGGTAATCTGCCCACCTCTGCCTCCCAAAATGCTGAGATTACAGGCATGAGCCACTGTGCCTGGCCAAAGAATGAACACTGAAATTGAGGTTTCTGTTATCCCTTTACTGAATACCACAAAACACGTTTGAAGAGACATATAGAAACTTACTGTCATGCACATACACATAAGATGGTAAATTCTGTGCTCACAAACTATTTTTTCTTCAAGCTCTGACTTAACATTTCTTACTCGGGGCCTGGCTTGCCCTCCTGCCAGCTTCTCCTTTCTCCTGACCAGGGCATTCTCAGCTTCAAATCAGTTAGCAGATGAAACTCTTCCACATTTATTAAACTGTTGATTTGACTGGTAAATGCAGGCCATTTTGTTACCCCTACTTTTATCCTTATCTATTTCAATAAATGTATGGACAGAAGGTAGAGCCAGGAGAGATGGCACATGCCTGTATTGTCAGCTTTCCTACAGGCTGAGGCAGCAGGAGTGCTTGAGCCCAGGCCAGGAGTCAGAAGCCTGGGCTCTGTGCCCACAGTGAGGACCCATCTCTTTAGGAGGAAAAACGGAGAGGTAAATGTGTAAAATAAAATGCAAAAAGAACTAATCAAGATGAAAGTTCTAAGAGAGGTCTATGTTATGGGTAGACCTTAAAATATAAGACATTCTGGAGTCTGTCAAGTTCTTTAAGAACTGAGTTTGGCATCACTACGACCTTACTTTGATGACTTAGAACCTCAGTCCTGTTCAGCAGCCGTCTCACACAGTCCCTTCAGATCTCTAAGCCTTCCCTTCTGCATCAGCAACATAGCTAGAATATACACAGGTCTTATTTGTATTTGGAAGCTTCCAGTAAGATGTACAGGAAAACATGTTTTACATCCTAAAGAATAAGGAAAAGGCTCACTTTGTTCTCTCACTACCTCATCTGCCAAATCAGACAGAATATCACACAGAGGCTTGCCATACACCACCAAGCAAGGAGTTTCCACAGGTACTTGCATGCTTTGTGTATAAGGTACAATCTATTAAGTCTCATAATTATTTATTCTTTCACAATTTTTCAATACTCTAAAAAGGGAGTACAGCACTTCCTTGTTACAAAGGCACACCCATCATGAGGCTTAATTATTCTGTGAAAGAAGGTAAGAGCCAAACTGAAGTTTAAACACAAGACCTGTAAGACATTTTCTCCATACTAATAAAATCTCTCATATTTCTATGTCTTTATGATATAATGTTTTCTATTTCAGTGGACTTAGTCTTTGTTCAAGGAACTGGTTACCCAGAATTATCTGTTGCTAGATTCATCTATTTCTAAAATCCTAAAGGATTTTAGACTGAAGGCTGCTGGCCCTGGTTGATGCCTGTCACCCAAAAAGCCTATGTCACCTGGTTACCAGGAAACAACCAAGTCAGGCTACTGGCTCACAATGCCCTGCCCCAGAGCCCCACCCAATGGCTCACAATGCCCTGCCCCAGAGCCCCACCCAATGGCTCACAGTGCCCTGCCCCAGAGCCCCACCCAATGGCTCACAATGCCCATCCCTGCTGCTGCCCACCTGTGGTCACCATTTCCCCCATGTGACTGCATTATTCATCCTGGGCTGCCTGAGCTTTCCAATCATGAGAAAAGTTTGTGGAGGGAAGGGTGGTTGTTATTGGAAGTCACCCTGGGCACTGAAGAAAACCTTGATTACTAATGTCAGTTCCATTAGCATCTCTGGTTTTCTGAGTCTGGGAGCTTTCATTTGCTCAAAAATGTAGTGATACACAAATGTTTGACTGATTTTGTAACTAAATGCTCCTCTCCCATCTTACAAGTGTTAGTTTTTGTCTTCAATTTGACCACAGCAAAAAATGAAATGCTTCCTCTCTCCTCCCCTTTCCCATTCTGTAGGAAGGGGAGCCATGAAAACAAACTCTTTTCCACCGGCAGTGTCTGGCCTTCTAACTCTCAAGTCTTTACCTTACAAATTCAAGTCAAAAGTCATTTCATCTCTTTTGGAAGCTGTAACCATGAGCTAGCTCTACCTGTCTTTCAGAAGGTAAGGAGGTAAAGCCCATGAAGTTACTGGAGTAGTGCCGAAGAGACATTCACGTCAAAGTGGGAATTTTTAAGTAATCAGAGCTCCAGGGCTAAACTTTGGGTAAAACCACAGCAAAAACAACTTTTCTTTCTACAGCTCTGGCAGTAACATTTCATATCTTTTGCTGTCATTTTAAGCATGTCCCTCAATTTTTCCTTTGGTTTTCAAATTACAATTGGAAGAAGTAAAGCTGCTTCTGTCAAGGTGACTTCAAACCATCTCTTAAGAACACCATATAATCTCTTCCATAGCTGTATTTTAAATTTAAGAACTTTCCAAATATTTGAGTCTGAATTTTCCCAATTATTAGCTTCCTTATCGAATAGGAGAAAAGAAATGATTGGGCCTTTAACCGGCTCCTTCACTGAGGTACCATAGTAGCTGGATAGGTAAGGCTAGAGAATGGGATGGAGACTCCAAAACTGGAGTATCTGAATTTTCACTGGGGAAAGGGAAAGACTAGACCCAAAATGCCTCAAGCAAGAAGGCTCAACAACAAAGACAAGAGGCGGGACTAGCCTTTGTCCTCCATGCCCAGCCCTGGGAAAGCTGGCTATAGGCAGGAGGGAGCTGAGAGCTGAGGATGTCTCTGGGCAGAAAGAAAATGGCACCTGTGGCTTCCTTACCTTTGCGCCGCTTTGACTTGGGCTGCACATGCTGGACCTCCACCACTCCGGCATATACAAAGTCAGGCTCTGCAGTCGTGGATTCTGGTGGTGTAGCTGCCACAGACTGAGTCCCACAACATGACGCCACTGCCTCCCGGCACCAGGCATAAATGAGGCCAGCCCTGGGGCCTAGGAAGTTCCCCATAGTGACCTATAAGGGGACTTTCAAAACAAAGCAATGCACAAAATCAGAAAAAAAAAAACAAAAAAGAACAATGAGAACACGTGGACACAGGGAGGGGAGCACTACACACTGGGGTCTATTGTGGGGAAATAGGGGAAGGACAGCAGGGGGTGGGGAGTTGGAAAAAGATAGCATGGGGAGAAATGCCAGATATAGGTGATGGGGAGGAAGACAGCACATCACACTGCCATGTGTGTACCTATGCAATCTCCTCCTCCTCCCACTACCAGCTTCTGACTGAAGGCTGCTGGCCCTGGCTGATGCCTGTTACCCACAAAGCCTCCTATGTCACCTGGTTACCAGGAAACAACAAAGTCAGGCCAGTGGCTCACAATGCCACTTCCCACAACCCCACCCAAAGGCTCACAATGCCCATCCCTGCTGCTGGCCACCCTGCCCCTCTTGGTGACTGCATTATTCATCCTGAGTGGCCTGAGATACTCCATTTTTCACCATAGGCCTCAGAAAACCCAGAAATGTCCCTTCATAGATTCTATATAGAGAGTGTATCTAACCTGTGAATAAAAACAAAGGTTTCATTCTGCATGATAAATCCACAAACACAAAGCATTTTCACAGAATCCTTTGCGGCCCACCTCTCACCTTCAGCTTCCTGTTCTTGGTTATTTGGGCTTCAGTCTTGTATGCTCTGTCAGGTTCTAGGCCTTGTAAGGGTGAGTTCCATGTCTCCACTCATTTATATGGACAGTTGGCTCTTGGGAGGGTCTTCACGACTGAGGCCATGGATCCTTCGCACTGTTCCTTGAATCCACTTGACACAAAATACTCATCCTGCAGTGATGCTTTGAAAGTGATGCTTTCATTCAATTAGGGGCCAGCTGTATTACGGATCCCTAGCACCCAATACATGGCATATGAGAAATGAATGAAAAATAAGTGAATGAACTCAAGTGTGCCTACAAGGTGAGAGAAAATGGTCCTACTTACTAGGTGTGCTACGAAGGCATCTGGGACCATTGGCTTTGCTATTTCATAGTAGGCCTGGGGCTTTGAAGGCTGGTATTTCCTCATTCTAAACCTCAAATTCCAATAAATTACCACCAAGTGGACAAAAGTCCATGGGCCAGAGCTCTTGGTGTGAACAACATACCTTTTGTGGGTGTGATTAATGGGCAGGGACTATACAAAACTAAAAACAATGTTTGTGTGCTGACTACCTGCAAGCCATGGTGATACATACACGATCTTATTCAATGCTTGTTACAAATCCACGAAGTGAATTTTTATGCAAACTTTCTATTCGAGCTTTTTGGAACAAGAGGCTAGTGTGGTGACTTTCACCTACTCGGCAGCAGATTTAGATACTTGTTATCTGATGGCCAATCTCGTTACATGTATACTCCTACATGCTTCTCCTCTCCCTCTCATGATTTTATAGCAAATCCCACACATCATATAATTTCCTCCCTGACCCTCTTGGTATATGTCTGTAAAAGATACGATTCTTGTTTGTTCTTTCAAGATAAGGTCTCTGTCAACCAGGCTGGAGTTCAGTGGCATGATCTTGGTTCACTGTGGCCTCTCCTGCCTCAGCTTCCTGAGTAGCTGCAACTACAGACTCACACCACCATGCCAAGCTAATTTTTTAATTTGTATTTTAGTAGAGACAGGGTCTTGCTATGTTGCCCAGGCTGGCCTAGAATTCCTGGATTCAAAGGATCTTCCCAACTGAGATTATAGGTGTGAAGCGCCATGCCTGGAGACAAGAACTCTTTAAAAAATATAATAATCCGAATACCATCATCAACCAACCATCTCACACCATTGCTCTTTATCACTGTCAACTCTCCTTCTAGCTCCAAATTTCCAGTCATTTCATGTATTTATTGTGTGAATCAGGATCCAAATAAAGTCTCTCCTTGGGATTGTTTGATTCACCTCTTAGGGTTTTCTTGATCCTGACAACTTCCCACTTTGATCTCTGTGCTGTCCCTTGCAGTCCATTTATTGAATAAATCAGGTCATTTCCCCATAGTTTGGATTATGCTAAATGTGTTCTTATTATGCTGTTTCTCATACTGTGAATTTTGCTAATTGTATCTTGTGATGTTGGTTAACTTGCTCTTCACTTTGTTCTAGCTTTGATAAATTAGTAGTTTGATCTAAAGACGTGGTGAGATTCAGGTTGGACTTGAGGGTCAGGGCAAAGATTCTTCTGGGAGGAGTTGTGTAGTTTCTGGACATCTTTTTTTTTAATTGGTGATGTTAATGGCCATTGATCAATTATGGATTGAACAATGAAGGTATTGTTGTATCATTCCTTCTTCATTTATGAGCTGCCATACTTCCAGAAAGAGATACTGCTACCTGAAGGGCCTTGCATGAAGAAAAAAATGAAGCAGATGTAAAAAAGAGATGCTGCTTCTAATAAACTGTGTTACTCACTTGTACAACTTATATAGAAAATGCCAGTTCATGGCTTGATTTCTTCTGCTTAACCATTTTTCAAAATGATGGGCTGTTTCATTTATATCCTTCAATGGTGACCACTTGTATTTATTTATAGACAGGGAGGGTCTAGCTCTGTTGCCCGGGCTGGTATGCAGAGAAGCAGTCATGCCACTATAGCCTCAAACTTCTAGGCTCAGGTGACCCTCCCATCTCAGCTTTCTGAGTAGCTGGGACCAAAGACACATGCCCTTAATTTAAAAAATGTTTTGTAGAGACAGAGTCCCCCTATGTTGCACAGGCTGGTCTTAAACTGCTGGATGAAGTGATCCTCCTAACTCAGCCTCCTGGAGTGTTGAAATTACAGGCATGAGGAACTGTGCCAGTCCACTTTTATTTTTTCAAAAGGATCATTATGAATGCAGATATTCAAACATATCTGATATATCTCAATTCACTGCAACTATTATCCTTATTAATGTATAAAATGTCCTATCTTTGGTTAGGAGTCCCTTCAGATTGGCCCTTCAGACATGTTGAAATCATCCTAATAATCTTTGATGGATTCTTTGCTATCTGGAGTGACAATATGTTCCAGGCTCCTTACACATTTCTGGCCTAGACCTAAAATCAGCACTTTCTCCAAGAAGGCTTCTTTTCTTTCATTGGGCAATGGTATTTTGAGACTATATTGAGACTACAATCTTGGTGCTGGGGTAAATAGTATAATTTTACAACTTAGAACCTGTAATCCTAGCATGTTCAAAGGCCGAGATGGGTGGATCACCTAAGGTCACAACTTTCAGACCAGCCCGGACAACATGGTGAAACCCCATCTGTACTAAAATACAATAAATTAGCCAGGCATCATGGCAGGAGCCTGTAATCCCATCACCTTGGGAGGCAGAGACGGGCAGATCACAAGGTCAAGAGATCAAGACCATCCTGGCCAACATGGTGAAACCTCGCCTCTACTAAAATAGAAAAATATTAGGCAGGCACAATGGCACTTACCTGTGGTCCCAGATACTCCGGAGGCTGAGGAGGAAGAATGCTTGAACCCAGGAGGTGGAGGCTGCAGTAAGCCAAGATTGGGCCAGCGCACTCCAGCCTGGTGACAAAGCCGGAATCCGTCTAAATAAACAAATAAGCCAGTCATAGTGGCTCATGCCTGTAATCCAAGCACTTTGGAGGCAAAGGCGGGCGGATCACCTGAGGGCGAGAGTTCCACCTGACAAATATGGTGAAACCCCATCTTTAAATGAAAAAAAGAAAGAAAAGTAAATAATAAATAAATAAGTAAATACATGCAAGACTGCCTCTAAATCATTATACAGATAGTTAAGAAAATGAATAAATGCAAGCCTGCACACAAAGTATAAAAATAATGTTGTGAGCCTGGGTCTAAATAAATAAATGAGTAAATGTGAGCCCGCCTCTAAATAATCAGCTAGCAAGCTAGATAAATACATAAATCCAAGTCTGCCTCCAAATACTTAAATAAATAAATTCGGCCTGCTTCTCCATTACTATGCCAGCAAATAAATAAATAAATAACTGCAAGTCTGCCTCCAAATAAATCAATAGATAAATAAATCAATAAATAAGCAGCCCCACTTGGTGGCTCATGTTTTTAATACCCCACCCATTGGGAGCCTGAGCTGGCTGTATCACCTGAGGTCAGGACATTGAGACCAGCCTGGCCGAGATGGTGAAACAATTTTTTTTAAAAAAAGGTAAAAATAATTAAATAAATTAATTAAAACATAAATAAATAAATGCAAGCTGGCCTTCCTGTCTCTAAGTAAATAAATCAGAAACTTTGTAAATAAGTAAATAAAGGCTGGGTGAGCTGGCTCAGTCCTGTAATCCCAGCACTTTGGGAGGCCAAGACCGATGGATCACGAGGTCAAGAGATCAAGACCACCCTGGCCAACATGGTGAAACCTCGTCTCTACTAAAAAGATAAAAATATTAGCCAAGCTCGGTGGCACTTGCCTGGGGTCCCAGATACTCCAGAGGCTGAGGAGGAAGAATCACTTGAACTCAGGAGGTGGAGGTTGCAGGAAGCCAAGATTGGGCCAGTGCACTCCAGCCTGGTGACAGAACAAGACCCCCTCTAAGATAAATAAACAAACGAACAAACAAATGCCCTATGTCTTAATAGTAAATTGTACTGTTAGGTCTTACAAAATGAATGTGAAAGGGAAAGATGGAACAAAATCGCAAATTTAGATCTTTGTAATTTTTATTGTTAATTTTCTATTATAGAATAACAATAACACTGCAGCACCCTAAACATATATAAGAGGGAAAAATCATTCACAATGATTATAGCCTGACATTAACAGTATTTGCATTTTTGTGTTTCCCAAGCCTCTATTTTTCTGTGGATGTTAAACCATGGCTCTAGCTATAATCCTTATGTATATGAGTATTTCTATGCATATTTCATAAGGGTCTAATCTTAGTGTGCAAACAATTTTCTATCTTTTCTACCATACTATCTAATATATATATAACACACACATGCATACATATATAGATAAAATTGTATAGGCTCACTAATATTTAGTGACTAAATAATTTTCTATCTTGTGATGTCATACACATATACACACATATGATGCCATGTGATTGCTCAAAACATTAATTTAGTGAATGAAATTTAATGAAATATATAGTTATTGCAAATATCCCTTGTTACTATTAGTTGCCTTCCATTGTTTATCATGATGAATTATGCTGAAATCATTATCTTTATGTACCTAAAACTTTTTTCGTAATTTGAATTGATTTCCTAGAAAAACTCTAACAAATAGATTTACTCTATCATAGGTTGTAAACATTTTATGATCCTTGATAAATTATGCTTTTCCAGATGATAATTCACATAAATACAAATGACGTCTACAAGATTGCATCTTGACACAATTGGCACCATCACTAATTTTCCCAGTGCTAATGGTGTGTACAAAAAAATGCCAACTAGTTTTAATTTGCATTAATTTATTAAAAGGATAATTATTTTATACATTTACTTAATTTGTTCCTCAATGTTATATAAAATTTCAAATGGCTTCATTTTGGAGCTCAGATATATATGTATTTTTATATAGTTATATACAAATGATACACATATAATTTGCCTATAGGGTTTTAAAAATCAAATCATAAGGATTGTTGATATTAGAGAGATAAGTATTGTACCAAATTATTTATTACCTTTTTTAATACAAGTTTAATATTTTTACATTCTTAAATCTAACTCGGGGTATTGTATATGTGTTATTTATTTTATGAATCCTAAGCCTGAAAAACTCATTTCTCTATATATTTTGGATAAATGTTTGATTTTAATTTTTTAAAAAAATTTTTTATATTTTTAAAATGTGACACAGGTAACCATAAAGTATATATAAGTATGCACAATTTAATAAGTATAAAGTGAACACCTCTGTAACCACCAACTAATTCAATATATCTAACATTTCCAGCATTCTAGATGCTTTTTGCATGTGGCTGTCTGATCACAATCCTTCTTTCCCCTCCTGGAGGTTCCCATAAACAAACCTGACTGGTGAAAATCATTTTCCTGCTTAAAAAAAATGATTTCACTACTTAGGACTTAAATATTCAACTGTAACCGATTTAATTTTGTCCATGTTTACCCAAAATATGCATTATTTTGTGTTATGTTTCCTTTGCTCACCATTATGTGGTTAAGATTACCCATGAATTGCATTTAGCTGTAAGTTCATTTCCTTTGCTACGGACTACTCATTTGGCATTTCCATGAACAAGTGCTATTATGAACAACTTTATACATGTATTTTAGTGCAAATGTGCAAGATTTGCTCCAGAAAAGTACTTGGGAGTAGAACTGCTGGGTGCAGTCTACTCATGTCTTAAACTTTTATATAACCAAACTTTTTTCCAATATGTGTATACTAGTTCACACTCCCACCAGCAATACATGAGAATTACCTTGCTCTACACTTCTCACCACTTAATATTGTGAGCACTTTACTTTTCTTGGTATGGTAGTTTTGAAACAGTAAGTGTGATTTCCATTTGGAGTTTTCTGATAATTAATGAAGTTGACCATATATTCACGCCTTTTTAGCCATTTATATTTCCTCAATTGTGAACTGTATGTGCAACAACTATTTTCAATGGAGACATATGGTTTTCTCATTGATTTAGAGAAATTTTATATTCATCTAAACACTAGTAGCTTTTCTGTATAATTTAAAATAATAAATCAAGTCATAATTTACATTAATCTAAATCTTTTGTTCTTTTAAAAACTTATTTCCTACACTAATATCATGAAAGAAGTTTCCATTATTGTGACCCTAAATGCTTTCAGGTATTATTTTCTCATATTTAGGCTTATAATTTACCTGAAATTGCTTTTAAGTACAGTATGACATAGTAGCCCAATTTCATTTTCTTATTTATGAATAACTTCTATTTTTAGTTTTCTATTTTTTCCTTCTGTTTGAAATTGGAACCTACATGCTTTGTTTCTATTCCTTTAGTAGTTGCACAAAACATTCCAACATGCATATCTAATTTATCACAAGCTGAAGTTCACTATACAGGCTGAGAAGCCCTCATCCGAAAATCGAAATCCAAAATACTCCCCTTGCGTTCTAGATTTTGAAGCATTTTTGGATTAGGGACATTCAATCTATATCTTTATTCTTCTCTTGGACATTACTAAGACCTCTGACAACTTGAAGTTCATTTCTCTTCTCGTCCAAACTTGTATGTTATTATAGTCATGTATTTTAATTTTACTGTATTTACATACTTTGAGATAGAGTCTTACTCTGTCACCAGGCTGGAGTGCAGTGGTACAATCTCAGCTCACTGCAACCTCCGCCACCTGGGTTCAAAGGATTCTTCTGCCTCAGCTTCACAAGTAGCTGAAACCACAGGTGCGTGCCACCATGCCCAGCTACCCTACTTTATATTTTAAAGCCAATTATACAGATTTATCATGGTATTATGCAGCTAATATTTATTCAGATTTGCCAATGTACCTGCCACTTTTTTTGTTCACTTGCAAATCAGACCTTCCAGCCAAGATCACTTTTCCTTTTTGTCTTTTCTCCTGAAACTTTTACTTTCTACTACTGAAAATATCTTCAGATTACATGTAATGAGGATTTTTGAGCTTTTCTTTTTCTAAACTTTATTTTGCCTTTATCCTTAAAGGATACTTTCAGCAGGAGTAAAGTTCCAGCTTGGTAGTTACTTTAGTTACTTTCTTTACACATCATTAAGTACATCAAACAACTATCTTCTGGCTTCCATGATGGCTCTCAATAAGGGAGCTTGCAGTCATTCATTTGAATGTAATCTGTTCATTCTGTTTACTTGCTTTAAGTTGGTATATGTGCTTGGCATGCTGCAGTTTCTATGGCTTGGCTGGTGTGGATTCTTTCTTCTTCAATTTACCCTACTTGTGATTCAGTGAAATTCCTGAATCTCAAGATAAGGATCTTTTATCAATTCTGGTAAACTTTGAGATATTATCTCACCAAGTATTAATTATGCTTCAGCCTTTCTAGGAATTCTGATTAGATATATTTTAAATCTTCTCAATCTATCCCTTCATTTCTCTTTCATATTTCTTGATTTTTTTTTTGTCAATTGGTGTTATGTTCTGAATATTTTCTTCTCTATTTTTCAGTTTACTAATTCTCTCTTCAGATGTATCTAATCTCCCATGTGTGGGGTGGTGTGGTGGTGTAGAATTCAATTGATTCACTTGTTTACTTGTTTCAAAAATTCTATTTGGCTTTCAAACCTGCTGGATTGTTTTAAATATTTTCTATGGCCTATAAATTTTAAAATTTGCCTTTTACTTCAAGAATAAGAATAGTTGTTTTAAAATCTGTGTCTGATACCTCCAACAACTGATGTAGTTATAGACTTGTTTCTGCTGGTTCCTTACTTCCATGTGTAGGTTAAAAATTTTTAAAAAGCTACAATAAATCAGAAAGTAGAGATGCATCTTCATTAGTCATGAAATCAAGGAAGACAGAAGGGCATAGTTTTTCAGATATTCATGGGGAGACTTTTGGGTAGACTCTGGGCTACCCTACAGCTTTTGTTAGTTTGACCTTCTCCCTGTAAGTCTCCAGGTATAAATATTAGCAGTCAGGTTGAGGATGCGAGGCTTATGTCAAATATTTCTTTTTTTGGGGCTGCCATCTCATCAGGGCCAACTGCTTTGACTTTTAACTTGCTTTTAAATGTATCTCTGCTCTTAAAATTCATGAACTATGCCCTTACTGATATTAAGTGATTTGTCCTTTGATTCCCTTATGGTGGAAAAAAAGCCTTTATACATTAGCTTGAATTGTGATCACATTTAAAGGCACAAAAGCTGAGTATGAATTTCTTTTAAAGGCTTTCATGTTGGCTGTGAGTCCATACATTGCCTTGAAATGGCAGACTGCAATTAAACTCGTCTAAATTCCATGAACTGTACTGAGCACCCACTAGAACACCATGCACTGGCTCTGTGGATATCAGGACAAATGAGACACAGTCCTGGTTGGATCAATAGATTATTCCCTTTTCCTTTTACTAAGAAAACCAGGAAAAGTGTGAGTCAAGGACATTAGACAGCTCCAAGTTCAATACTCAGATGTATGTGAGCTTACACAATTAAGGAGCATTGGCTTTTAACATATGAATGTTTGTAAGTTGATACCAAAGAAACTACATTTGCTAAGAGAGTGCTTGAGCCAGGTGCGGTGGCTCAAGCCTCTAAACCCAGCACTTTGGGAGGCCAAGGTGGGCTGATCACAAGGTCAAGAGATTGAGACCATCTTGGCCAACATGATGAAACCCCATCTCTACTAAAAATACAAAAATATTAGCTGGGCATGGTGGCACACGCCTGTGGTCCCACCTACCCAGGAGGCTGAGGCAGAATTGCTTGAACCCAGGAGGCAGAGGTTGCAGTGAGCTGAGATCGCACCACTGCACTCCAGCCTGGCACCTGGCAACAGAGCAAGACTATCTCAAAAAAAAAAAAGAAAAAAGTTTGAAGCTATCCAGAGCCATATTCCTGAACAAGGAAATGGCATCATTATTTTATAGCTGTAGGATTCTTCCTGTCTCCCTCCTTCTTCCTTTTCTTCTCCTGTGCTCCCCAGTGTGGTTACCCACTTCTCTGTGACCCAGCCCTAAATCTAAAGCCCAAGTGCCCCAAGTAATGGCTGTGCAGATATCAACTTTGAAAGAGTGCTCTGAACTCAGTGTGGAGCTGCAGGAAGAAGATATGGAGAAGAGTTGTATGTGGACCACATCAGGAAGGCAGGTTGGCTAAACGTTTATCTGACAAGCTTTGATTTGTGCAGAGCCCACCTGCTATTTGGTGCCAGCAATAGGCAAAACTGACTCACTGTGATTCATGTGACTATCCTGGCAAACTGCAACCAACTGAAGGCCACCTAAGCACCCATGCCATGTGTGCATAACGGCCGCCATCAAGATGCTCTGAAGGGCTGCACCCTTGCAGGCAGTTCAATAGTTCAGTGTGCCAGAGACATGCTGAGGTGTCTCTTTCCTTCTCATGTCCACCTGCCTAGAGGCCCATTGAGAGCCCGAGCTCTGCTGAAAAGGTGAGGCCCTCCTATACTACGTTACACAACACAAATGTCTCACCACAGAATCTTTCATCTTCTTGGGGAGAGGATCAGCAGCTGACTCTTCCAGATTTTGATGTAAAAACTTAGGAAACAGTCTGCATTGAATGAAGAACCTGAAAGTGGAAAAACACATAGGTTTTACTTTATCAATGACGTCCCTGGGGCAGTGTTTTTGGTAAATAACTTCACCTTAGATCTCACACCCACACATGACAAAAGCAGCGCCCTCTTCATTTAAAATCTAAAAAGAGGTACTTGTTCAAGTGATCATAATTCTCAATTTCACCCTAATGAGAGCAGTCAAGTACCTCAGCAGCAGCATCACCCTCTACTGTCAGCAGTGGGACAAAGGAACGGTCCTCCATCTCTGACAGCCCACTAGAGCTTCATCTTCACAAACAATTAGCAGAACACTGAAGTAATACAACTGACACTAAAAAGTGTGAGAACCATTTAACTTTTCTTTTTTCCATTTTTCATGCCTTTGATACTGCCGCATCTAATAGCCTAAAATTATGCTGTCTCTGGTCCTCCAAGAGTATGGTTATCTTAAATCAAAATTTTTCATAAATTTAAACACATTACATAAGATGCTACTGTCAGTATCGGAAACTCACTCTGGCATCACTTGAAAGACTTCCAGTGCCAGAGTACATGTGACCAAAGGTTTAAAAGATACGATGAAAGGGAAGGTTGCAATGTATACGTTCACATTACTAAGGATCACATTAAATACATTTTAACACTTTGGTGCAAATCTCACTTTAAATCCAGAGGGCATTGGCCAGATTGAGAACCAACACCACCACAACAAAATAGAACAAAAATGTTTCCTTTCAGAGGTGCTGGTTTAGTCTCCACAGGTAACTGCCTCAATGCAGGGATGCAGTTTAATGGATCAAGTATTGTTGAGGTGGTAGCTTCTCACCCAACTCACCCAAGGGAAAGTCACAACAGGGCTTGGGTGCTATTGGCCATCTGTTCCTGCCACTGTGCATTTTACTCCAAAATCAAAGGAGCAAAGCCAAAATGTTTGCTGGATGTTCACTTTTAACTGTTACTAATTTCTGGCTGGTCCTGTATTTCTCCTGCCCTCCTCTGGTGAATGACCAGCTAGTTTAATAATGAGAGTCAAATTACAATAGGCAGTGATTTGCCATCTCCCCCACCTCAGTCAGGGCAAAACGCTGTGGGAACCGCGCCCCCTGCTCAGTGATGACAGCACAGGCATAGATCACTCACATGAACACAGATGGGTCACTGCTCTGCCAGCTCAGATGGTAGGAAACGGTGACCAAGAGGCCACAGAAGGCTGAGAACAGCATCAGGATGTGTTACGTGCTCCATGGATCCTAAAGAACATATGTCAGTTAGCCAAGTCACTCCACAGTTATGTACAGGATCTCTATCAAACATTAGAAACATCTCCACAGTCCAGCTGGATGGATGCGTTAATTCCTGTGATCATTCCTGCCCATGGACATATAAGTATCTAGTGGGCACACAAAAACCTCACCTGTTGGTTTATGAACATTGATTTTGATAAGGGATTGGGTAGGGGGAGTTTTGACTAATTGTAAATACTTATAAGAATAAAACTGAATCTTTCCTGAAATTAAGCTTAGGATTTTTTATAGAATGTAATATTAAACATGTGTCACTCTTCTGAATTCAATGTAACAATTATAATAATTATTTTTCTCAATGTTTATTAATTGATAGTCTAAATGGCATAAGTATAAAAGTGGCATAAGAGATTAAACAGACTAATAAACTGAAAACTTGATAAAGATTAAAGATAGCTGAAAGATTTCCAGTGCAAGAGTACACTGTTACTAAAGACTTAAGATATGATTAAATCAAAGATTGTAATGTATATATTCATGTTATTAAGAATACACTACATACATTTTAACACTTTGGTACAAATCTCACTTTAAATGGCGTAAGCAAAGAAAGAGCAAAGTTATTTGAAATGAAAAGAGAAAGGCACTTCAGGTTTAATTTGATAGAAGCACAGATGTCAGTTATCAACACATGGTACTCAGACTGGTAGAGCAGAACTTGAAAAATACATGTTACTAGCCCAAGTAGTGTGGTGGCCTGGGACTCCAGGTCTCCTTCTATACACACCTGCTGCTCCCACTAAAACAAACATGTCTCTCACATGCCAAGAAGAAAACATCTACATATTAACCGTCTCAATCACCATCAACAGAATCACTGATCCCTTCTGAAAGCTAAATTTAGTCAAGAAATTAAATACTTTTTTCTCAAGATTTTTTTTTAAGATGGGTTGTCAATTGTGCTCACATGATGTTCAAATGAACGAGTCAAGTGTACTTAGCAGTTATCCTCTGTAACTGCTAAGATAGGCTGGAAAGCAAATATACCCTGAATAGAGCAGGTAATTTTATTTTTGAATGCTTCATTTTCTTACAAATTAAAATGTATTTCTTTTACCCTCCCCATTGTAGAAGTCTTAACGAACGAGAGCAGTACCTGGAACACAAATTGCAGGGAGCCGACTCTCGCAGAGACTGCTGAGCTGCATGGTTATAAGGTCAGGAAGTATGACTCACTGTCTCCAGACGTATCTCCACACAGATTCCCCACACCAAGACGTCCCGCGTGCCTCTCAGATCAGCTTCCCCAGAGGTCAGGTGCATTGCCTTTTCCAGCGCCCTAAGGTACCATGGCTGCATTCATTATTTTTTAGATTCTGTGCAGATGTCTTCCTCACCAATTTTGTTAAAAAACTTAAACCCAGTGATGAAGCATCCTCCATGGACCTTTTCTTCCTTTGGAGTTTTCATCAGCAACACCTTCCCTTCCAGTATCCAAGGAAGAGGTGTACTTCCTCCTTCCTGAGCCAAACCCTCCCCTCAGATCACGATGTCCTACTCTTTTTCATTGGTCCCCTCTGCCCAGCCGTTAAAAATACTTAAGTTGCTGACATCTTTTTTATTTTGAGATGGAGTCACTATCACCCAGGTTGGAGTGCAGTGAAACACGATCTCACCTCACTGCAACAACCTCCACTCACTTCAACCTCCACCTCCCAGGTTCAAGTGATTCTCCTACCACAGCCTCCCGAGTGCCCAGGATTACAGGTGTGCACAACCACAACCAGCTAATTTTTTTGTTGTCACCATGTTGGTCAGGGTGGTCTCAACTCCTGACCTCAGGTGATCTGCTCCCCTTGGCTTTTCAAAGTGCTGGGATTATAGCATGAGTCACCATACCCGGCCAGTTGCTGATATCTTTAACAAATAGTCAGTCCTCCTTCCCCTTGTTCCAGTTGCCCTCGAAAGCTACTGTACTATCCTAGTCTGTTTGGGCTGATATAACAGAATACCATAGACTGGGTGGCTTATAAACCACAGAAATTTCTCA